CAATATAACTAGCTACCTCACTTTTATTTTATTTTGAATTCTTGAAAAGAACTGGTAGCAGTTCTTACGAAAATCTTATGCATCTTATGAACGCATACAATAAGATCATAGAACATGTCTCATCTTATAAAAATCATACAAGAATCTTACGAAATCTGATAAAATTTTACTATAAGACATTACATCAAGAATCAGTTTCTGTGTGTCTTACAGAATCTTACGAGTTCTTGTAAGAATCTCACGAAATCAGACGAAATCGTACAAGAATCTCATAAGATCTTACAGTAAGATTCTTTGACTTGGGAAGTCGAGAACAAAAAGTAACAGAAACATACGGTTTTGCAAAGCCATCATAAATGTTCAACTCAAATTAAATGGTTAGGTATTCTAAAGTGTTCTTTACAAAACTAAGCAAGTCCAAGACCGTTAGATAAGATAAGATTTTATTTTTACTAAAGTGCAGGATATCACAAAAAAGAACAAAAGACTTGTGGCATCCGTGGATACCCTGTGATAACCGAAAACTAAAATTTTAAAAATAAACATTATTAAAAGCCTGTGTAACCTCTCAGCATATTTTTAAATGTGGCTAAAGAAGTTTGACAGCTGCCATGGTTCTTAAATGGCATAGATTTTACTGAGGCATTACCTATCTCAGTCTGATCAGCTATGATAATCTGAAAAATAGCTCTTAACATGGCTTCTCGGACAAACACAGTCTCGTGGCAATGTTTGTTGCCAAAAGAAAATTCAACAGCGTGATGGAACGTATCAGGGAACGTTTTTAAGTGCCCCTCGCTTTTTCAACGAAACCTAGTGGGTTATAGGTTATTGATGATGCTGATTCCGAATATGAATATGAGAGCTGCTCTTAGGGCTTCGAAGATCCGGTTTTCTAGAAAATTCGTTTTTCAGAGACTCTAAAAAATAACCAAAGTCTTCCTTAATAAGGCATAATGATTAGAGATGCATCGGTTACGGTTATAACCGAACAACCGATAGCGGTTATAACCGGTTATTCGTTGTAACCTATACCGGTTGTAACTGATAGTTATCATCCGTGTTCTCAGAGAAGTTTTATGACAAATAATTCTAAAATTTCAGCCTTCGTTTTTTATACTTCTTCTATATTTCAAATAAGCAAATTAAACTATTTCTTGAAATAAATTTATTTATTACGGTGTAGAAAGCAAGAATTGCTATCTTCACAGTAAATGATGTATCCCTCAAGAAAATGATTGTTGATATCGATGGGTTACAGAGTTTAATGTCTTTTTTTCTCCACTCGTTTCTCTTCGACATGTTATAAAGATGTTTTTCTAGAAGAATCTTATTATTTTCTTTATCTGTCTGTGACCTTTTCTTTGTTTCTAGTCGACGACATATGTATAATAAGTGTGGCTCATCAGTATGTCTAGTCACTGTTGTGCGTCGAGAAATCGGCGGTATCGGTTACAACCGCTCATCGGTTAACCGTAACCGGTGCCTCTCTAATAATGATAGCCCGCACATTTCTGATTAAAATGAGATCTCTCCCAACTCTACATGATCTTTCTTTGCAAACTTATGGAATTTACAAGAGAAGCCCTTAAATTAATTTCTTCTTATTTCTGTTGCTTTGAGCTGATAATCAACATTTAGCGCTTCCCTTGTAAATTCCATAAGTTTGCAAAGAAAGATCATGTAGAGTTGGGAGAGGTCTCATTTTAATCAGAAATGTGTGTGCTATAATTATGCCTTATTGAGAAAGACTTTGGTTATTTTTTAGAGTTTCTAAAAAACTGGTTTTACAGAAAAACGAGTCTTCAAAGCCCTAAGAGCAGCTCTCATATTCATATTCGGAATCAGCATCATCGATAACTTACAACCACTAGGTTTCGTTGAAAAAGCGAGGGGGCACTTAAAAACATTTCCTTGTTATTGAAAATCTATAGTAGGTGAAATAATCCACCTTTTCCATTTCCACCAAAACTAAAATATTTATAACTCACAAGGGAACCGATTTAACTGTCAAATCGTTTTTTCAATGAGACCAGTAGATTATAGGTTATCTCGTTCTTTTGGAAAGAGCTGGTAACCAGTTCTCGTTCAACAGGAACTGAACTGGTGACTAGTTCTTTCGACAAGTTCTTATGAACTATAGGAGCTGGAACTGTCTCCACCCCTATTGTTAACTACTTGAAGACACAAAACGCGAGCTGTGATTTGAACATCATCATGGTCTACAGACAGTATTAACCATATTGTATTTACCGAATTAAATCTAATAATTATTGTACAAATATATTTATATGTAATCTATCGTTACTCAAATATATTATGTTTGACAGATGTATTTGTGTATATTCTTCAATAGTATCTGATCGCCTGAAACAATGATTTGATTATCTGATTCTCTTTATTTCTATCTGATTATTTCATACTCGAATTGTATAAGTATCGTATAAACATCTCTGCAATATATTCATAAATATTTCCAATCGTATGGGTTTAAAACAACATTACTAGACTTACAATATGTTTTTTATTCTCATATTAGCATAAAATAAAGATTATGAGAAAAGGTAGCCGACCTCAGCGGATGTACTTGTTCCCAAGTACTTCGCTTGAGTCATGAAGCCGATACTTGCCTTTACTTGTAAGCACTTGTCCAAGCACTTGACTGACTCAATGCAAGTAAATTCACTTGAAGAAGTTCAGCAAAGTGCTTGCCCCATTTATCTTGTATTTTGTATATACTGGATTATTGGTTACCCAGTTCATCCTACTGGGTTTATTGGTTAAATTATTCTCTGATCCCAGCTAGCCAGAATCAGGTGATTCTGAGCTGGATAAGCCAAAGACTTGTGAGTACTGACTCACACGTCGTCGAACAGTAGCGAGTTTCGATGGCTCACAGTGTTCGGTGCGAAAACTTGAGACTAAACGAATTTTTCATTTTCTACAGTACAGTAAAGTTGTATTTATATTAAAGTTACTACAAAACCCGTCGGTGATTGTGTTCTCGTATAGAAAAAGAGAATGAAAAATAGGAATCCTGCAAAATCCTACACAAAGTCTTATCGTAGGATTTTGTAAGAAATGCATAAGATGCCTATAGGAACCCTGTAGAAGTCTTACTACCGTCCTATCGGGTGTCCCAGGTAAAATGGCCCTTTTTTGTTTTTGCGATAACTCCATCATTTTTTGTGCAATCTGCTCAAACCTTTTTTTAAACGATGCGCCATTTAATTCTCTACAAAAACATGTGTCACCAATTTTCTCGGAGTAGAAATTCATAGTTATAAAAGAAGAAGCGAGGATGTGTAAAAGTTTCAACTTTCTAAGGCAAAAAATGATTTTTCTCAAAAATCTTCCTCAGAGTCTAAAATCCGAGACGGCCAGTCGAAAGACCGCAAAAAGTTCTATCAGATAGTCACTTCCAAGAATTTTCCAAAGCACACATCGGCGAGAAGAGATTTTTCTGTTTCTCAGAAAAACACCATTTTGCAATCACCCCCTATATTCTACTTTCTTACTATAATCTACTGTTTCATACGTGAATAAAATAATTTTCTTTCCACTTATTTAATTTTCCATAGTAAGACCTTAGTCCCACGTGAACATTCTCATGACTCGTCCTCATTGCTAGACCGGCTAATCTATCATGACTATAGGAAGAACATGAAGTTCGAGGGGCAAGACATGCTGCTCATTTGCATAAATGTCACTTTTTCAAACCGATCTCTAGAAAAATGCACCACTTGATATCCTTTTTTTTTCTAAAAAGATCGGTTTCAATGCGGACTCTCTAAGTGGTAGCAAATAGAGGAGCTCGAATACTACTAATATGCATTAAAACCATTTTCATACCTGTCTTAATAAAGCACTAGAAACAATCATAAAAGAACTTCATGTACAGTTACTAACATGATTCACCATTCAGTAACCAGTGGTGAAAGAAAAGAATTTCTTGATTGATCGCAACAGAGATGTATCTTCGAAAAACATTTTAACGAGTTGTTTCCAGCAAAATATAAATCTCTCTCAATATAATTCTGACAAAATTCTAATAATTCTATATAAGAATTCATAGCATTTGATAGATTGATTCCTAAACGATTTTCTGTGCGTCGTAGGATTCTATATGATGCAGTACTATCTATTTAGTTTGCATATAGTCAAACGCTTTAATTGATGTACATAAAAGTTCGTATGTTAACTTATAAAAATCTTATGAACTCTTCTAAACTAATTATATAATCTAACTTACCGAATTCTTATCAGAATCTTATAAGATTCTAAAACTTCTCAACATCTTATCAACTCTTTTAAACTACTACCGAATTCTTATAAGAATCCTATCAATACCTTACACATTTCCATCGACTGCCTTATATAAGATTTCTATAGAATTGCGGTGACTTCGGTCGCTCAGGGATTTTTCAGAGGCATAGAATAATTGATTAAGCACATGAAAAATATAAAATTTGTTCTTTTCTCGTTTTCTTGCTTTCTATGTTCACGTAAAACAATTAGTAGGCTTTCCATCTGTGAAAATGAGAGTTGTTATGATCATTTACATCATTTATATGATGTCTTTTGTTCAAAGTACTGGAATTCACCTGGTTTATCGGGTACTTTTCGAGAAAAACAAGGCAGTTTATTAATTATCAAGCTGAAAAACAAAAGTTAAGCTCTTTTTTCTGAAAATTTCATTTTTTGTCATAAATTAAATATGTAAATTTAATCTCATTTTTTCTATATTCTTCGCAAGTCTCTATCTCTTCTCCTTCTCGAGCTATGCGAAAAATGGTCACTGGCACCATAATTTGAAAAGGACATTAGTAAAAAAGAATATTAATTTTTGAAATCGTGGCGTTAAACGAATTATGTCCGATAAACGCATCAATGTATATGCATCACAATCATCCTAGAAAACAGAAGGAAATGAAAACAGAATTACATGAGGAAAGAATAAATTAGTTCTAAATGCAAGTGTTATTTGAAAACAACTGAAGTGAAAGCACGACATTTTTAAATTTCTTTTGAGAGCTTGCGTGACGAATAAATTTGCCTAAGGTCTGAAAGCACAACAACACAAATTAAAAGTTTTATACTTTTGATTATCTAAATATTAAGGAAAAGCAATAGAGGACTAAGAAACATACATCTTCATTTAATTCTTCTTCAACTTCTTCATCAAAATCTTCATCCCGTCGTTGTTTTTGTAGTTCATCACATTGTTCAAAATGTTTATTCAAATGTTGATCTAATATATTTGTTAACTCTCTTAATTCGTCGCCTGTTAAACATGACCTACCCAAGGTTTCAATACACTATAATAAAAATATCAAGTAGACTTAAAACTAAAACAGAGTAATGACATACTTTTCCTAATGATGAAAATAATTCATATGGTACCTTGTACTTGATTTTGATGACACTAAAGAACTCTTTTTTCATATTTTGCCACATTTGCCTAAGACATTTATCACCAAGTAGTTTTTCACACTCAAGGAGATGTGGTAATGCTTCAGCTACTGCAGCGCAAACACCTAGAAACAATAATGTAGTAAGATACTAAATTATCAAAACTTTGGAGATAAAATCAGGTTTCTACCACTAGAACTTCGTTTCTTGTCAAAATAAGTGCCATATGTGCGATCAGCAGACATAGTTAAATATGAGAATCGATTCTAGAACCTCCAAGTGTTCCACAGGTGTTCGAAGAGGCTGGTGACAAAAAGGTTTTTAAAATAAAAAATCAATTTTTCTCTTAATTTGGCATAATTCTTTTTGACTTTAGTTTGGTTCGCTAACGTTTAGACTAATACATTTTGGAAAAAAAGAATTACAATATTTGAGAAAACGTTTCTTTCAAAAGTCGGCTCATCCAACCAAAAGTGCCTTATTCTGAAAGGAACTGCATTCACATAAAACAAGTAACTTTTACTAAATTGGATTTTATTTTATTATCTGCAAAATATATCATTTTATTCAGTTTCTCTTGCTTATTATTATTATTATTGTCTGTCACCCTTATTAACTCGATTCCCTCATCGATACTTTGTTAATTGATTCTTCATGTTATGTATTTTAGATTTGTGAGATAGCCAGTTATGGTTTCGGTGTAATGGGCATGTATGGTAATTTAGTGTATGCACATGAATGTGCCAATATTCTTCCACGTCTATTTCAAGTTGTTGCTGAAACCAATAGTCGCTCCGATGACAACATTATGGCGACGGAAAATGCTATTATTGCTGTTACGAAAATACTCAAATATAATAATTCAAAAATAGAAAATTTTATTAAAGTATGTTCTTCCTATTCCACAGTGGGCATTTTTTGCTTGAGCAGGCGGACTTTAGCTTTATGAGCGAAATAAAATTTCATGAACCATTTTTTTATAGGTTTTTCATGATCCTCTTTCGAATGGCATGAGAGTTAGCTTTTGAAA